GCCATCCTGGCATGCGGCCAGGGTAAAGGGAGAAACTTCTAGAACATGGGGAATCTAGTCTTTTTGGTAGGAGTTTAGAACAAGAAGTGGCTCTTAGACCTCTCTGGACCCCCTCGTTTCAGCACAGAACGCTGATAAGGAGGAAAACAGGCAGATGGATCACTTGCATAAGTGTTCTAAAATCAGGTACAGTTGCAGCCTTCATAATTTTTAGCGTTGCAAATTTTCTGATGGGTGCACATATGTGGGAGCATACTACCTAGTCGCAGCGGGTTTTAGATTTACTCTAGGGAAGAAAAAATCACCACCCAGTTTAACATCTAGTATGCAAGTGTCTTCGGGTGGGCCCTTTTCAGCGCCCCAGGTGGGAGGTGAGTGTGGCGTCTGGCCTGGGTGAAAGCCGAAAGAGGTGATAGCCTAACCCTCCGTGACATTTTTAAAAATTAGCTTTTGTATGACAAACTATATTCCCAAAGAATACAATTCTGTTTCTTACACGTCACTTTTTGCCGTGTCAAGATGATTCGGAATTTTTGGTGCTGCTGCTGTATATAACTTGATTGAGAGAAGTGCAATTATGGACAATTTTTCTACATTGTGCAGTTTTTCAGTTTTGCAGTGTTGAGCACTTTTCACTGATCTTTTCTGTCAGCTTTTCTTATCAGAGTGCTTGACAAAATTTTATATGAAGGCGGACGATCCTAGCCACTCTGAATTTCTTTTATGTAACATGAGGTTAGCTCATAAGCAGGGTTTACTTTACATGGTGTAAAGTTGGCTAGGCTTTTCTCAAATTTCATTATTTTTAAAGCTGTTGGTTCTCGGGCAGAGCAGGACAGAGTGAGACAGTGGATCTGAATTAAGTGCTAAGTCGTAAACTAGAATCTCTATTTGAAATAACATCTAACTATAGGATAGGTGCTTGTGAAATATTAGATTTGCGAATTACCTAACATAAATGCTTAAGAGTAAAGTTGGTTGAACTTATGCAAGTTATCTCAGCAATCCAAAGCAGTCCTGTCAGTTTTATTTCTGGTGAGCTAGGTAGGATATTTTAAGGGCAAAACCACAATTACGTCTTTGTCAGGTGTGTGCTCTTAGTAATGATTAGTTTCCCCTTTATTCACGAGAGTAGCATGGCTGTGGAGGAGTGTGTCTTTTTAAATTATAATGCATGTCTGCTTATGTTTTTGTCCTGCCTTTTTCCGTCATCTTTGCAAATGTTCTATCCACCTATCTATATTTGCTGGCCTTTGTATGTCATGTCTGGTCTGCTCATCTACACGGTCCCTACTTTAGGGGAGAGATCATGTATTATACTTTTTCGTTTCATTTTATTAAAACACTTCAAGCATACAGAAAAGTAGAGAGACCAGTATCACAACCCCTCCTATAACCACCACTTAGCTATGTGATACCGTAGCATTTTGCCTTTTTTTTTCAGACACCTGTCAAAATGTTAAATACAGGTGAAGCTCCTAGTCTGTCCCTCCTCAGTTGCATCTCTCCCTTTCTCTCCTCAGGTAACACTGTCCCCAGTTGGGAGTTTATCATTCCCATGAATATTTTAATGCTTTTTCTGTATGCATGTATGTGTATATAGTGGGTATGCGTGTACGTATATGTGTATACACACACGTATGGTCTTACGTGCTCTTGAAATTTTTATATATTATCATACTTCTTCAGTTTCCATTTTTGTGGGTTTCACCTGCCATTGTATCCCCCGTTATCAGAACAAAATAAAAAACATCTCCTTCCACCCTATATCCCCCCTCCAACTACCACCTTTTTTTTTTTTTTTTTTTGCTCCTTATTAAAGCAAAACTCTTGGTAAGAGTTGTATGTACTTGTTTCCTCTCTCTCCTTTCATTCTCTCTTGAACCCATGCTCAGCAGCCATTTTCTCCACCATTCCATGTAAACCGCTCTCATCAAGGTGTCCAGTGACCCCCTTGTTACCACATCGAGTTGTCATTTCTCAATTCTTCACTTCTCAGCAGTATATGACACACTTGATTACATCTTTCTGTATGTAACACTTTATTCAGCCTTCTCGGTTACCGTACCTTCCTGATTTTCTCCTACCTCGTGGCCACTCTTTCTTATTTCTTTTGCTGGATCCCCCTTTTTTTAAATTTTGGAATAAGTTGGACAGAAGAGTCTAGAATGAAAAGTGAACATTCCTCCCAAACTTATAGTCCCTCTCACTAATAATGGATATACAGACTTTGTGCATGTGTGTTTGAATCTTATAGGTGAACCAATGCCTCAATTTAAATTGTATTTATTTGTTTTTTAATGATTTGTATTTTTTGTGTGTGCACGTCCTATTTCTCTCATTTGTTCACTGTTACTATTATGTTTTATTGTTTTTATTAATTTTGTGTGTGTAAGTTAAAATCATTAGCCCTTTGTTGTCTGTCATGTGGGGGGGGGGATATTTTTTTCCTAGCTCATCAAATGCCACTTGACTTTGTGATATTTTTGAAGTACAGAGTTTTAATTTGTTTTGTACAGTCAGATTTAACGGTTTTTTTCTTTTATGGTTCCTCAATTTGGGGTCCTGCTTACCTTCTCTGCTGCATGATTATAAATAATTTCACTTGGGTTTTCTTTCGTACTGTTTCAGGGTTTCATTTTTTCCCTTTAAATCTTTGATCTATCTGGAATTTATTTAGCATCCCCTAATGTGAAGTGAAGTAGTATAAGCTTATTTATTTTTCTAAATGGCTGCCTCATTCTTCCCCAATCACTTATTTAATCATGTCTTTTCCCTTACTTGTTTGGAGGCTACCATTACCATAGAGTAATTCCCTGATGAATTTGAGTTCCTTTCAAGTTCTTGAAAGAACTTGTGTTGTTGTGTTTTTTTAAGTTTATTTATTTATTTATTTAGTAATCTCTACCCCTAACGTGGGGCTCCAACTCACGACCCTGAGATGAAGGGTCGCATGCTCTTCCCACTGAGCCAGCCAGGCACCCCCATTTATGTTTGTTTTATTTTTCAAACCACTGCAGTGGGGTTCTCTGCACCTGTGTTCAAAATACTCTCTAAAAAAAGTAATCACTGACTATAGCTGTCACATCACTTAGCTGGCATCTTACTTGGACTGGACAGAACTTGCAACAGTCGAATACCTTCCAACCACTCTTCTGTACCCACCTCCTTCCTTAGCTTTAATCTCACATTTCTCTTAGTTTCCCTCCTGCCTGCTGTCTCTCTCTTTGCTAGCTGATCTTCCTCGGTTTCTGGCACAACAGTGTTTTGGGGATTCCACCTTCTCATGGCAAATACACTTCTGAGGAATATTTCCCAATCTCTTTACTTCAGCACTTACTTAACTGGCTAAATATCCTCATATTTTCATTTCTAGCTCCAGTCTAAATCTGGGTATATATATCCAGTTTTCTGTTAGATGCTATATGGCGTGCCCTAGAGGACTTCAGTATGTCTGCACCAAACCCTTGTTCTCCTTCCTTCTGATATTTTTCCTTCTTCCCTCTACCCTGCCTCACCTGCTATCATTACCATTTCCCCCAGTTATGTAAATAGATTTTGTCTTTGACGTCACTTTATCCCTTTAATATCTACCAATAATCTGTCAGTCTGAAGTCCTCGTTTTCCCTGGCTTTTCCCATAGCTCTTGTCTGTGCTCTTATTTCATGCCTTGATTATAGAAGTGGTTTCTTAACTAGTCTCCATACTTCCAGTTTCTCTCTCTCTGATCTACCCCCACGTTGCAAGCTGTGTCAATTTTCTAATACATAGATTTGATCATATAGATTTCCTGATTGAAAAACAGCTGGTTTTAGTTAAATCTTGTGTAAATTGATCATTGTTTACATTGTTTACTTCCTCTCCCTTCCTAACTTCATTAAAATGAGACTAAAGAAATGGAAAAATTCAAAAGGACAAAGAGAACAGGAGGGGCAACATTGACAATTGCAAGGTTTAAACTGATTTTTTATTTAGTCAAAGGAAGTTAACAACTTGAGAATCTCCCCCTACACGAACTTTTGAGAGAAACCAACTAATTCTTTCCATACAACTCCTAATATTTCAAGATTTGGGGGCATCTGGTCTGCGGAAGGCAGGAATAAGTCTTGAGATTGAAAATGTGGGCTGTTCTTTGAAAGTCTTTATAGTAAATGGCTGGAGTTCCATGTCCTGTCATCTACTCCCTGCTCCTCAGGAGACCTGAGGTTTGTAATCTGGAGAATTTGAATGGGAGAGCCCCAGATTCTGAGATGCAGCAGGTAGATTAGTTGAAACCATGGGACTGAGTGAGAGTTTGAATACCTACTTTGGGGACTTCTGTGTTCTACTCTAGATGCAGTTGATGAAAAGGGGCAAGAGTTATTTATTTTCACACTCCCAGATTCCTATTGATAATCTAGATATGCTTGTTTATCTCTTGGCACATCTCCTAAAAAATTGTGTAGTCTAAAAAAAATTAAAATTTCTCAACACCTTAAAATTCTCTCACCACTTCAACATTTTTTAAAAAAGTAAGTCCAAAGGTCAGTTGATTTTGAGATGCTTAAAAAAATTTTTTTTCATTTAGGCTACTCAATTTCTTGTAATAACAGAAAATATGATTGTGTAAATAAATAAAAATGCTAAATTATCATTTGATTTCTTTTTCAGAATTCAGAATTCAGACCCAAGAAATAGAGTACTTTTTCCCCTTCTGCATCTTTTGCTCTGACCCCAAATTAAGGGACAGGAAGGGGGCAGCGGAACAATGAAGAGAACCTTTTTTCTCTGACTTAATTATCTGAGGTCTTCACATAGTTTTATAACAACCATAATTATATGAACAAACTAAATTGCATACTCTACATTTTTATCTCCCCCGTGCAATAAATTGATTTTATTAACAAGAAATATTTAAGTAAAGTATACTGGTCTGCTTCCCAGTATATTTGAAATGAATAGAACCCTTGAAATACACATCTCCAATGCAAAGCATTCACACGACTAGAAACAATGTATTAGATTTAGTTTGCTACCACCTCACCGGCTCTTTTTCCATAAAAAACCACCAACCAAACAAAAATTCAGTCCGGATCAAGAAAACAACCCCCACTACCTATTTTATGTCTTTAAGATTTCTATGCCTTTCTAGCCTTAATTTTGACCAACCACTTCTAAAACTGTGGGCCCTAATTATGTCTTTTGAGGCCTCACGTGCTCCTGGTAACTCGGGATTTAGTGCTGTCCGTGTCTCTACTTGGCACATGTTTGCCTCCACTCTTCACCTCTAACTTCTCTTGTCTCTCCCAACTTCACCCAGACTCCTCAGGTCTCCCCAGGGTTAATCCAACTTCCCATTTACTTGGTTGTTATTCTAATGATTTCACAGAAATGCAGTCAGTGCTATTTAATGAGCCACTATGGAATTTTGTAGATAATTTGACTGTTGCAGATTCAGTTCCTTCAATGTTCTCCATTTTCTTAAGTTTTCATAAGCTAGAATATGGACATTGGGAACACAGACATACATTTTTGTCTTTCTGTCACAAAATATAGAAAATATTACATAGATAGCATAATTTGAAAATTCTAGTATTGATGTCTGTAGTAAATAATTGACTTCTTTTCCTCCTGAACAGGTCATTATCCAAGTGTTAGAGGTGATGGATCATCTTCATAGAGGGGAATCAGTTGCTGCAATACTCCGTAACCGGTATATTTATGGAAGCAATTTACCTTATAAGTTATATAATGTCTCTCCCGCCTATTTATATACCTAACATAGTTGCTATTTGTTGAATGCCTGGAATAATATAAAATATTTACTATATGAGTGAATGTAAGAATGAGTGACAAAGAGATGGAATGAAGAGCATGTTAGCGACCGTGTGTTCTGAGCTAATGAAAAAGTAGAGAATATAATTAGACATCATAATTGGTGTAAATTGTGATCACGTGACATTCAGTAAATGGAGCTATTGACTTGATTTTTTAATTTTAAAGCATGTTAGTGAATAAATACAGGTATCCATTGCTTAAGAACAGATGTCTCAACCAAGTATTTTTTTAAAATAGTATTGTCCTGTGATGGTACATTTCTGTTATTTAAAAATCCAGTTAAAACTTTTTCAGAGAGTTATAAGAAATTCTGAACTTTCTCTGGCAACTTATGATTTTAAATTCATGGTTTAAAGAAACATAGCCTTTGCTTTGTAGGAGCAAAAGAGTATCCCTTATTCCCAGTAGTTGAATTGCATGGTTTGAGTGAATCCTTCGAAATAATATGCGGGAGTTGTCTATATCATGGCTCTGACACTTACTAGTTGTCTAGTCTTGGGCAAATTTCTTAATTGCTCAGTGCCTTAAGTTCCTCATCTATGAATTGGGGATAGTATTACCTACATCTCAGGGTTATTTTGAGGATTAAGTAAGCATCTGTGGGGTGTGGAGAGAGCTTGGCAAATAATGCATGGTATATTGGTGCTCTTATTGAAATGTAAATGTGAGATTTTAACTATTTTGAAATACAATATTGTGTTTCTGAATTCTGATATGCTTTAAAATAGGTGTGTCTTAAAAGAGTAAGAAAAGAGGGGGGAGTTTGAAGTAGGAAGGGGTCATATATGAAGTCATTGTTACTTGCCAGATACCATACTAGGGATTTTACATAATAATCCTATTACGGAAATATTATATGATGGGTGCCTGTTTGTTGGAATGTGTACTCTCATGTGGGCAAGGGGCTGTAAGGTAAACTGTTCAGAGATGCAGAAAGCAAGGAAATCCTAGCAGGAATAATGTGTGGCCATGTTGGATGAGAAGAGAGAAGAAAAGAGTAATGTGTGTGGGGGTGAATTCCTACTGGTGAGTTGAGTCTGCAGAGTCCAAGCACTGCTGAGTAGGAGGGTCTGTATCACACATTTGGAAGAGGAGAGAGTAGGAGGGCAGGATTTCCAAAGGTCAAGTCAGTAACTGAGGTAGTTATAGCATACTTGAATTTGTTTCCATTATTTTTATAGAGGTGTAATTGAGCGCAGTAAAACATACAAACACTTAAATATACATCTTTCTTTTTATAGAGATATAATTAAGTGCAATAAAATATACAAATACTTAAATATACATCACGATAGATTTTTACACAGCATACATCCAGGTAACCACGACTCAGATCAAGATATAAAACAATTCCATCCTTCCAGAGAGTTACCTCTTTCCCCTTTCCAGTCTCTATCCCCTCTACCCCTACTGAAGAGAACAAGTATGCTGACTAGCATATTAGTGTTGTTTCGTCTCCTTTTTTTTTTAAAAGATTTTACTTATTTATTTGACACAGAGAGAGGGAACACAGCAGGGGGAGTGGGAGAGGGAGAAGCAGGCTTCCCACCTAGCAGGGAGCCCGATGCGGGGCTCGATCCCAGGACCCTGGGATCATGACCTGAGCCAAAGGCAGACACTTAACCAACTGAGCCACCCAGGCGCCCCCATGTTGCTTCTTCTTGAACTTTGTGTAAATGGAGTCTGACACTCTGTATGGCTTCTTTAGTTCCAAATAATGATTTTGAAATTTATCATTCCTGCCAGTATCAGTAGTTGTATTTTATTGCTGTGTTGTATTCCACCCCCCCCCTTTTTTTTTTTTAGATTTTATTTATTTATTTGACAGAGAGAGACACAGCGAGAGAGGGAACACAAGCAGGGGGAGAGGGAGAGGGAGAAGCAGGCTCCCCGCTGAGCAGGGAGCCCGATGCGGGGCTCGATCCCAGGACCCTGGGATCATGACCCGAGCTGAAGGCAGACACTTAACGACTGAGCCACCCAGGTGCCCCCCACCCCCTTTTTTAAACTATACCACAATTTGTTTATCCATTTTCTTGTTCATAGTTATTTAAGTTGCTCCATTATTCGGTTATTAGGAATAAAGCTGTTCTTGACATTTTTGTACAAATCTTTCTGTGGCTATATATAGCCACAAAATTTCCTTTGGATATGTCCCTAAAATATGAACATATATAAATTATTTATTAAATTTATTTTATTTTAATTTATTAAATTTATTTTCTGTAACATATATTAAATATGTATATATAATTTATTTAACATTAATAGACTGCCAAAGACTTTTTTTTTAAGATTTCATTTATTTATTTGAGAGAGAGAGAGCCAGAGGAGGAGCAGAGGGAAAGGGACAAGCAGACTCTGTGCTGAATGCAGAGCCTGATGCAGGGCTCGATCCCAGGCCCCTGAGATCATGACCTGCACCGAAATCAAGAGTCAGACACTTAACTGACTGAGCCACCCAAGCTCCCCTTGCCAAAGACTTTTCTAAAGTGATTGTATCATTTTCTCCTCTGACCAGTGACAAGTGAGAATCCTCGCTAATTCTTGGTATTGTTAGCATTTTAATTTAATTTAATTTAATTTAATTATTTTTAAGTGGGCTCCATGCCCAAGGTGGGGCTTGAACTCACAACCCTGAGACCAAGGGTCACATGCTCTACTGACTGAGCCAGCCAGGCTTCCCTTGTTAGCCTTTTTAATTTTAGCCATTCTCTTGGGTGTGTAGTGGTTTCTCATAATGAATTTCAGTTTGCATTTTCCTCATGTGTAATGATTTTGAGAATATTTTCATCTGTTCAGGTCCTTTGCCCATTAAAAAAATTGGGTGGTTTTCTTTTTGCATTTAAGGAGGGGTGTTTTGTTTTTTTTAAGATTTTGTTTATATATTTGACCCAGAGAGAGAGAGATAGTGAGAGAGAGAGAGCACACTCAGGGGGAGAGGGAGAAGCAGGCTCCCCGCTGATGAGGGAGCCCGGCACGGGGCTCGATCCCACCTGAGCCGAAGGCAGATGCTCAACCCACTGAGCCACCCAGGTGCCCCCATCGTTTGAGGAGTTTTTAAGCCTATTCTGAATATTTCAATATGTTGCATTATAGATACTTTCAATCTGTGCCTTGCCATCCTGTTTTTCTTATTTGTGTCTTTTGATGAGCAGAATTTTTAAAATTTTGATGAAGTTCAGTTTATCTTTTTTTCTTTTATACTCATGCTTTTTGCATCTTACCCAATAAATCTGTGCTCTCCCAAATTTTAGACTTTCTTCCTGAAGTTTTATTTTTTTATTTTTTTATTTTTTAAGATTTTATTTATTTATTTGAGAGAGAGAATGAGAGACAGAGAGCATGAGAGAGAGGAGGGTCAGAGGGAGAAGCAGACTTCCTGCTGAGCAGGGAGCCTGATGTGGGACTCGATCCCGGGACTCCAGGATCATGACCTGAGCCGAAGGCAGTCGCTCAACCAACTGAGCCACCCAGGCGCCCTCTTCCTGAAGTTTTATGGTTGTAGCCCTCACATTATAAGTGCATTCTTAACCAGAAACCAAAGAAATGAACTTATGTCCTAGATTTGACATAGAATCTGAATAATTAATAAGAACATTTTATAAAAGAAAAGCCTCTTTGTAGTTTTAATTTTAAATTAATACCTTTGTACACGTAAGGGATCTGAATTATAACCTGAGCCATACCTCATAAGACATAAGGAACTAGTTGTATGACCCCTAGTTTATAAATCAGTGACTTGTGATTTCCTACTGTTACAAACTTTATTATAAATAAGACTCCTTTGAAAGAAACAGATAATTCTGATACTAAATAAACTGAGAGCATAAAAAATGATGGAAAACTGCCCCATTCATTTTATAATGCTGCATAATTCAGGTATCAAAATCTGAGAAAAATTTTGCTTGTTTGTGTATATATATTATAGATCAATTTTGGATTCTAAATAAAATATAAACCAAACACATTCAGGAATATATGCAAAGAATTGACCCCTTGTGACTAAGAATGTTTTATCCCAGAGTGTTAATTGTTTAATACAATGAAAGTTATATGATGCATTGTGTCAATAGATCTCATTAAAAAAATAAAATAAATGCTGAAGGGGGGCACCTGGCTGGCTCAGTCAGTAGACCACGTGACTCGATCTCGGGGTCTTGAGTTTGAACCCCACGTTGGGTGTAGAGATTACTTAAAAATAAAAATCTTAGGGCGCCTGGGTGGCTCAGTTGGTTAAGCGACTGCCTTCGGCTCGGGTCATGATCCTAGAGTCCCGGGATCGAGTCCCGCATCGGGCTCCCTGCTCGGCGGGGAGTCTGCTGCTCCCTCTGACCCTCCCCCCTCTCATGTGCTCTCTCTCTCAAATAAATAAATAAAATCTTAAAAAAAAATAAAAATAAATAAAAATCTTAAAAAAATAAATGCTGAAAGTGTTTGAAAAAATGCAGTGCCCATTTTAAGAATAAAAATGTGAGGGGCGCCTGGCTGGCTCAGTCAAGAGAGCATGTGACTCTTGATCCCAGGGCTGTGACTTCAAACCCCATGTTGAGTGTAGAGATAACTTAAAAAAATTTTTTTAAAAATGTCAAAGAAACTTGCTCTCTTAATAAGAAAAATAATTATCTCTCTAAAACCAACAATCCAGCATGTAATATAGTAGTTCCATAAGCAGCAACAAAGATGCCTACAGTCATCATTATTTAAAATAAATTCTGGCCAGTGTCAATAAAGTAGCATAACTAACAGAAAGGAGGAGACAAAAAAAAAAGATCAAGTTTTAGAAGATAGGCTTACGTAACCTACAAAAGCTAAGACTTAAAAACAACTTCTTAGTTGATAGAATTCTAATGAGTGCTAAAAAAGTAGTGGGAT